AATTTACAGAAAAAAATTTGATTTATTTTTATAAGACAGAGTAAATATTAACTTTATAAAAAATAAATAAGTCTTAATCATTTGTTTTTATACTGATAATATAAAATACTGATAAATTTTTCATTGATAAATGTAAGATGCGTAATGCGAAGCATTGGACATATTACAACAAACGGTAGAAGAACTTTTCTTGTATTTTACTAATAATATAATGTAATAATATTTTCTAGTATTTTCTCTAATTTACTCTTATTAATATCAGGATAAAAAAATTTTCTAGAAATTCCCACTTTACTTTTTTCTGAATAAATGGATTTCCATTTTTTGCATCAACATCAAAATTTCCACTTAATAGGTTATTCAACTTAATAACAATTTTTTGTACGATTTCATTAAAAATACATGCCTTTGTTGTTACTAGAAAATTTCTTGAAATTATTTAATAAATTATTTTTTATCATTAAAACAATTAAATGTAGCATGATATTTTTTAATGCAATTCTCTATTATACTACTGCTTATTTAGCTTCGTTGTGAAGCTGAGAAGGAAATAATTTTACTAAGATTAATTTTTTTTATGTCTGTTACCACTTATTCTCAGCTCTCACCGAACCAATTTCTTTCAACGATACGTCAAAAGATCACAAATCATATCTAGTTGAAGACATTACCCTCAAAAATTGAAAAATTTTCCCTCATTCCCCGTAAATGTGGGAAACCTCCAAAAAATTACAAATTTAAAAATCGCCAATTTTCGAATCTTTTCAATTTTTTTTACTAAAAACTGCCATAATTTTTTTAAAAATGAACATATCAATATAATTTTTTTTTTATAGATGCTTGATGTCTTTACCTATCATTAGGTATATTATTTTCATAAATTTAACCCTTCTGACCGATTTTGATGAACAATACATCAAAAGATTAAAAATCATGTCTAGTCAAAGACATTACCCTAAAAAATTGAAAATTTTCCCTCTTTCTCTATAAATGAGGGAAATCCCTTAAAATATTATAAACTTAAAAATCGGTCATTTTCGGCATTTTTTAAACGTTTTTTTACTTAAATCTACTATTCCTGTTTGTAAAATGGATAAAAACAAACAACCTTTTTTTTATAATTACATTAGGTAATTACCTATCATTTGATATATTTTTTGTGAAAATTGAAACCATTACCTGCCCACAAAAGGGTTATTTCAAAAAGGCAACTTTTTCATAAAACTTTTACCTTTTCAACTTATTTTTTTAAAATTTTCCGGAAATCTGACACTTTGATATATTTTAAAGTAAAGTTTATGTAATATACTTTAATGTGAAAAAATTAATTTCGAATATTATATTGTCTTAGTGATGAAAGTGGTTACCGTATTAAAAAATATGCTATTTTTGTGTTAAGATTTTGGATTGTAAGCTTGTATTTTTATATAAAATAATCTTATAATCACTTACATAATATATTTACTACAATTATAGAATAATTCAGCTTATTAAATATTATATTTAAGATTTATACATTCAATTATTTATTTTACAGTAATACTTTTTTGTTTATTAAAATGTGTTTATTATGTTTTTAATTTACAATGTAGTTCTTGGTAGATCAAAACTATTATCTACCAAAGTGTTTTTAATTATTAGATAATGGTTAAAATCGTGTAACCATCAAATAGAATTAATAAATGAAAAACTCATAGTCGAATAATAAATGTCTATCAAATTCTAATTAAAGATGTAGGTTTTATAATATAAGGAATATTAATTTCAACTTAAATACGTTTAAAACCATGGATATAATAATCAAGCTGTTAATGAACATAAAACATAATTTTTAAACTTGTATTTTTTAAATTTTAGACGTTATTTTCGTAGAATATGGTTGTTAAGTATTTATTCAGCTGTTTAAACTTGCAAAAGTTAATTTATTATTTTGTTTATATTACTTTATGCTTAAGAATTACTTACATAAATTTTGATTTATGTTTAGTTTCTATACATGAGTTGAACAGAACGATAAATTAGTATTGCGACATTAAAACCTTGAATTTGGTTTTACAGTAACATAAGATTTATTGAATTACAAAATTATTGGTAAAAGTTTATAACTCAATAACAAAATGTGATATCTGATCTAATATAAAATCTACAAATATTGCAATAAATGGCCAAATCATTTAATTATTTCAATTATTATGTTTTACTTTATAATAATCTTCTTCTTCTTCTTAGCCTTAATCCCAACTATTTGTGGTCGGCCATCCTTATCCTAATCTTCCACTTGACACAATCTTTCACAACATCTACGCTCATATCAATGGTCCTTATATCGCATTAAATAACATCCTCTATATTCCTTTATCTTTTCTTCCTTAAACATTATTTTCTTAAAGCTTCCGATTCCTCTCTCCTCATAACATAACAAATGGTTAAGAAACCTCCTCCTTTGGGGGATGTTGCTATGGACCTCAATGAGTTAATAAAAGCGTATAAAAAAAAATATATATAAAACTGTTTTAAATTATTCTGAATATATTTTGTTGATTGCAAAGATGTAAATATACTTAAATCGCTAAAATTGCTTTGCCCAAAGTATATTTCATATTATATTCTATAATAAATAATTATTATAAAAAATTGAATACTTCGAGTTAATTGTTTACATTTTATAGTGGATGTTAAATAAATCAACGATAATTTATTCTAATTAAAATATTAAAGACATAATCAGTATAAATATATAATAATTACTTTTTATATATAAGATTGTATAATATTTTGAATATGTATTAACAACTAAAATTTCATACATTATTTGAACAAAATCTAGTATATGAAATTTAAAATTTGAGTTCTTTACATTTTTGGTTTGCTTTCAATAGTTAGGCTGTCCTTCATCCTGTTATATTATACAAAATGATTATTTAATACATAAAGTGTAATCCCATTTAATAATAATAAAAAATATTTGGGTATTATGATTTAATTAACACTTAATATCTTCTTCCTCGCCTTAATCCCAACTATTAGAGGTCGATTACTAAAAAATCAGCTACTAAAAGGACTTTTGATCCGTACTGCCGCCCTCGATTACAATGTATGCTGTCGATTCATATTCGTGACAAGTATGTTTTCTAATGTTACAAAAAAAAAAAAACTTTATGCAAATTTCTAACAAATTTCCGATCGATAGGTATTTCCATTATTGTTTACGTGTAAAAATCATAATAGAGTAATTCTATGTAAAAATGAAGAATAAAATTATTATTTAAGTCCCATCACAATAATACCTATGACAAAATAGATAGGTATGTCAGCAACTTTGTGATACGCAACTTCTTTGTGATACTCTTCACCCCATCTATAGCTGGTTCGCCTCATTTCATTGGCCGAATATTTGTATGGTCATTTTCCATAAATATAGTGATATTATTATCATTTATGCGTTAATATTTAATATTGTGCAAAAATAATTTGTAGCATATAGAAGAATAATGAAAAATTATGTATGTAATATACTTAATATTTAGAAGTGCTTTCATTGCATTAAATGATATATAATTTGCTTCACATTAATGTTATTTTTTTTTTTATAAAGCCAAGAGGTTGATTTGTCAGCACAGTATCCTAATGCGAACTGGCCTAATGTTATTTGGTAATTTAATTTTACTTATTACATACATTTATTTATTAAGTAAATTTTTGTTTTTTAAATTTAAGTAAAAGTATGTAAGTGTATCAAGTTTTCAAAATATTTTAAGACTTAAAATAAACGCTGTTCATTTTATTTAATATACCCGGCATAATCATTTCATATCAAATAATTTGCAAATTGATCATATTTGTTTATATTGTAGTATAAATAGATATCACAATAGATTGATATCAATCAATAATAGTAAAAGGTAAAGGTATCATAAAATAAAAATACAAAATATTAAAGTTGCTGTCAAGTATTTGATTTAAAGAATTGTATTTTGGCGGGCAAACCTACGGCCAATGAAATCAGGCGAACCACTACTATGGGTGAGAAGGGCGGGATGCGTCAAACGGTCCAAAACTCGTTTGTTGCTGACATACCTATCTATTTTGTCATGATAATACCAATGTTTTTATAAATCCAGATAAGTTCCTGCTAAATAGTACCCTGGTGAGTCGATAACAAAGTATAAAATAACTGGTTTTGATCGTTCACGAAGGAGTAGTTGGAGGGTGAGGGTATTCGGTTACCAACAGAAAATTCGTCACGTTATAACATGTCCATAGACAAAAATTCATTTTTTGCATAAAAACTGCGCGGGACAACTTTTATCAAGTTGTAGACTAGTTTCAAATGGACGCGCGTTTAACTTTTATGATCATTCACATGTACGCGCAAACACGTGCGTCAAACTCGAAATATTCTTGTTACATACAGTTTGTGTCATACATTCAACGGAAATGGACGTGTGTCAGATGCTGTGTGCTTGTGGATCGTATATCGAAGAATGAGAAGACGAAGACAAAAAGAAGAAAGAAAATTTTGGGTCCATCCAATTTTAAAAATTAGACTTTCTTCAAGACATTATATTACCTTATACCCGAAACTTAGGGGTCATGACGAAAATTTTTTCAATTATTTTCGAATGTCACTTAAATCATTTGATGACTTGTTGGATCTCATTAAAAACGAATTGGAAGCAAATGAATAAGCTGTAAGATACAGTATTTCGCCACAAGAAAGACTTATTGTTACTTTGAGGTAAGTCCATTTAAATTATTATTCATACAAATAAAAACAACAATTTCTAAATAATAATTTTATGTATTAAAAACTGAACAAAATAAAATAATTAAATTTTTTTAACTAAAAAATGTTTCCTTAACATAGCTTAAAAAAAAAATTAAAAGTAAACAAATAGTAATAAAAAATCAACTTTTCATAAAATCGTAATAAAAAAGAATAAACATAATTTAACTTTCTATTAAGTTTATCTTCATTCAAATAAATCAAGGTCAGATGATCCTTGAGAATTTTCAGTGATAACAGACAATGACGATGGAGTACCTGGAGATTCCTTATTTTGGTATGGTTGACGTATTTCGTTTAGAATAGTCATATAATTTGTAGGTACTCTATTTTGAGAATCCGGCGCATTTGAATAATTATTTGTATAAGAATATTAAGGATATTTTAGTCGAGTAAATGGTTAGACGAATGATGAGGATGCATGGTAAGATTGAGGCGAATCTATGAAACTTGGAAGATGTGTTTATTGTACAGTTTGTTTTTGTAAAATTAAATTATAAATTTCTATCTTCGTTTTCAAACGCATGGCCTCAGGTACTTTTTTTATTTCTTTGTATAAAGACAAGCAAAATAACTTATCTTCATCTTCTTCATTTTTCTCGGGGATACTTCTACTACTTAAACTTTTCTCAATAACATTAGCGAAATGTTCGTCCGCTGGATGGAGCTTAATTTTTTTTCTTTGTTGCTGATAATTTGAATTTTTGTCTGCCTGGTTTGGAGTTTTAAAACAGGTCTCTTGATCCGAGTTTACAGTTTCTGTATTTTCGTCGTTGTTTAAATCGGTTTCAAAGTTACTTTCTGTTGTATTTCTGTGAACAGTTGGTTGCAGAAATTGTAACCTCTTAAAAAATAAGTACGATGACTTTACGGGAGCTGCCGATCCAGATTTCACTTTTTTTATTTTTTTTAGTTCCCTGTCGTAGCCATCTCGAAGACTTTTCCACTTCTTCTGTAATTCTAATCCTAAAACGAAAAATATTAATAATGTTGGGGGTTTCCTGAATTTTATAATTGTGTATGTATTTTACTGGTAAGGTAAATTTACCAAATTAATTTTACCAAGTAAATGTTTTTACCACTCATGTTTTTACACATGGAAAGCATATTAGAATAAACCAACTTCCTGATTCCGGTTCTATTTATTATAATTACAAACATTTTTTTTCCCTGGTTTTGATGGCTTTATGTGACTGAAACTATTGCTTCATACGGATTGATATTGGAGTCTTTAGTAAAGATAGTGACTCGGGAATTTATAAATAATCTACTTTGTATAAAAAACTGACCGAAAAGAAGTTAAATATTCCTGATCCCGGACCTATAACTGACAATGGAGATATTAGAGTTCCATATGTAATAGTGGCTGATGAAGCATTTGGTATGTCGGAAAATTTGATGAGGCCTTATGGAGGTAAAATGTTATCATATGAAAAAAGATATTCAACTATCGTTTAACTTTAGAACGTTGTTATGTGGAATGCACATTCGGAATTATGTGCAATAATATTACACCGACCACTCGATGTAAAAATTGATTTTTCCGAAAACATTGTTAAAGCGATTTGTGTATTGCATAATTATGTCAGGTTAAGAGACGGCTTCAAGTACGAGGATACACTTTATGCAGCACCATTGACAAGCCTAAATGCATCACACGCAGGACGGGCTATAAGAGATGCAGATGTAATTCGAAAAAAATTCACCTCTTACCTTATTTATGAAGGGAAATTTGAGTGGCAAGACAACATGATTAAAAAAGTTTTGTAATTTCTAAATTAGTAAAAAAATAAAATCATAAATACATTTTAAAATTAATGTTTGCTTACTCAAATTTTTTTTTTGTCTTCCGTATCATCAACATCACTAAATACGCGAACCAATTCTTCCCTTTAAGAGTTCTGTTCGAATACTCATTTGACGTCATATCCCAAATGCGCACCATGTGAACGATGTATGAGAAACTAGTATATCTAAACACGCGCGATTAAGTGACTCGCGTCCATGTGAACCTAACCGTATTGTCACTAAAATCATCGATTTTTCTCAGTATTATTATTTTAATGTGGTTTGAATAAACAATATAATCGAGTTTACATATTTTCATTTAATCGCTTGATTAATTACTAAAATGATCCAATATTAGGCATTTGAATTTTGGGGGAAGGAGGCAATTTTAATTTTAGATTTATTAGTAATAGGTCGGTTAATAGCCAAAATTGAGTCCTAAATTCATAAATCATAAGTTTTTAAAACAAAACAATACTCAAGAAAAACTTTTTTAATGCAATATCATGATAATAAAAGTTTTAACGATTTTATTTGATAAAATTATTTGTTAAATATTGCAATTGTTCATAAAATAGTCAAAAATATTATCTTGGGCTAGTTTTAAAAAATAAAAAGTAGACTAAATAAAAAAAACAAAATGAAATTTTACATCCTCCATTTATAAACCGAACAAATAAAAAAGTTAATCACGTAATAAAAAATTGACTAATTTTATTAAATTTAAAAATATTATTTATGTCAAAAATTAATATCAATATATTACAAGAGATCGAACATTTATAAATATATATTATAATTTAGAATTAATGTTAAACAAGAAGAGCTGAGTTAATTGGACACGTACTGCGTCATAACAGTCTACTAAGCAGGATAATAGAGGGTGCCATTGAAGGGAATAACAGCAGAGGGCGACCGCCATTGGACTACATTAGTCAAATAGTTAGAGATATGAACTGCAGATCTTGTTGCGAATTAAAAAGGAAAGCTGAGAAGCGCCAGGAATGGAAAATTGCTGCCAACCAGAATTTGGGCTGCTAACAAAAGAGAGAGATTTAGTCTCAAATAAAATTTTAAACCGTCATACTACAAACATAAAAATATCTGCTAAAAATGAAAAAAATAACAATGATGTAGTAAAAGTGGTGTTTGAATAATGTGTAATGAAAATTGACTAAATCGAAATAATGAATTGCTTGCGTTAGATAAATTTAATCTATTTATAATAATAATGAGCGGTAAATGGCAAATAGAAAAATAACTCAACCGGACGGTCTATTAATAGCAATAATTTTAGCATTTTTGAGCGACAAATTTAAACAACCATTTTCAGCAGATGGAATAAATATTTTGATTATGAACTTTATTATTGCTAAATCGCAGGTCATGAGAGAATGTCGCTATGGAAAAATGCCTTCCTTACCATTTAAATGTAAATGCTCATATTTTTGTTCCGACAACTACTATAAACCACCGATTCGACTTTAGAACATGTAAAAGTATGTGTCACAGTATCACATAACTAGACCGCGGAATTACATACATTTATAAATTATATTTGAGCCAGTATAAAGAGACTCAAGTTTTTGCAACTTTGTCATAAGATAATATATTGGCGTAGAAATATTTTTCGTTTTAAGGAGGGATAACTCCCCTAATTCCTCCAATACTACAACCATGGTAACAACACATTAATAAGTTTTCAAATCCATTAATAAACAATTTTACTGGTTAATGATGTATACCAAATAAATTAAAAATATTTTTTAATGCATATAATCCAAACTAAACAGTAGTTGATTTTTAACATCTTCGCGGACATATCACTTTCATATTTATATATGAAAACGATATATATATATTTTTTTTTTTACAACCGTTAAGTTAGTTAATACCATTGTTAAATTCCGGGGAAATATGAGTGCAATGGTTTCCTGTTGCCTTCTGCACTGGGAACATGGTGCTTTTTCGCCTCCGTAGAAGCGCACGCATGGTCATCCATCCGTTCACCTATGGCGGTAAGCGCAGCTTAACACTAGAATTTTGTCAACAACTAGTGTGACCACCACGCCACTATATATAAATATATTTATTTATTTATAACTTAACTGAATGTGTGTCTGTGGCAGTCAGGTCTCTGTTGGGTTAATATAATCTGTAGGTCAGAGGTTCTCAAAGTCAAATGAATCACGGACCCCCATCTAAAGACCTACAGTTTTAAAGACCTAACCCTGATATGGGCTCGCGGACCACACTTTGAGAAACTCTGCTGTAGGTGTCTAACAGGTTGTATTAATGTTATTCTATTAGGTTATTTCAGTAAATAATTGTACGTTGCATTAATCGAGAATGTTAAATATATTATTGTAGTGCACTCTTTGGTAATTTCTCTAAGGAATTATAAATTTAACCTAAGTACTTATAGCGTAGCCAGCTATCCCTCGTTGGTTCTTTAGGGCCTAAAGCTTAGGCTACCGTTAGCGGAAAATCAGGAAGAACACTTCAATAATATCGTATCAACTGGTGAAAAAACTGACTATGATGTTATTTTGTGTTTAAGAAGGGATTCATCGAGTGTACTACAATTTACTCTAATATAGCGGATTTACTAAATATTTTGTCGTTGCTAACAGGTGTCCCATTATTTTCTGATACCTTTAATAACTTTTGACTTAAGACTGCAGTCTCGTATTGTTCAAAAGTTAAAGTGTGTACCGGTCAAGTTCCCCACATAGCTCGAATCGCATTACCCCTCTCCATGTAATGACGACA